GCTCTGGATCCCAATCCCAGCTCTGGATCCCAATCCCAGCTCTGGATCCCGACCCCAGCTCTGGATCCCGATCCCAACTCTGGATCCCAATCCCAGCGCTGGATCCCAAACCCCGCTCTGGATCCCAAACCCAGCTTTGGATCCCAATTCCAGATCTGGATGCCAATCCCAGCTCTGGATCCCGATCCCAGCTTTGTATCCCAATCCCAGCTCTGGATCCCAAACCCAGTTCTGGATCCCAATCCCAGCTCTGGATCCCAATCCCAGTTCTGGATCCTGATCCCAACTCTGGATCCCAATCCCAGCTCTGATCCCGATCCCAGCTCTGATTCCAATCCCCACTCTGGATCCCAATCCCAGCTCTGGATCCCAATCCCAGCTCTGGATCCCAATCCCAATTTGGGATCCCAATCCCAGCTCTGATCCTGATCCCAGCTCTGGATCTCAATTCCAGCTCTGGATCCCAATCCCTACTCTGGATCCCAATCCCCATTCTGGATCCCAGTCCCAGTTCTGGATCCCAATCCCAGCTCTGGACCCCAATCCCAGCTCTGGATCCCAATCCCAATCCCAGCTCTGGATCCCAATCCCAGCTCTGATCCCAATCCCAGCTCTGGATCTCAATTCCAGCTCTGAATCCCAATCCCCACTCTGGATCCCGATCCCAACTCTGGATCCCAATTCCAGATCTGGATCCCAATCCCAGTTCTGGATCCCAATCCCAGCTTTGGGTCCCAATCCCAGTTCTGGATCCCAATCCCCCCGAGCTGGCTCGCAGAAAATTTGAGCTCTACAAACAGCAGTTTTTCTCCACTTGTTTCCTTATACATTTTTTCTCCTGTTCTTTCCTCATCCAGTTTTTCTCCACTTGTTTCCTCATCCAGTTTTTCTCCACTTGTTTCCTCACACTCCGCAACAGGTAGCTCTGTGTTGGTACATTTAATGTATAAATAAATTTATTTTATATAAAAAATATTTTATATAGAAAAGCCCTCAGAGCAGTGGATTCTTTAATTGGGTATCCCAGCTGGGAAGGATGGGATTGGGATGAATCCATCCCTGCAGCACCAAGGATTTGTCGGACACCACGGGAATGAAGAGTTCATTCCCATTTTCCAGTGGCAGCTGCCAGTTCTCAAAAAGCATCAGGAATCCAACAGCTTAAATTCAGCTTTTAAATTTTAAAAATTGAAAWTTAAATTYGTATTTTTTCATTTTTAAGTTCCTTCATTTTTTAAATTCTTGGCTGTTCTTGTCCTGTTGGTGTYTCTGATCCTGGAATAGTTGGAAAACGGGAGAGGCTGGAAAAGGAGGTGCCCGATCCAGATTTTGTGGCTCCATCCAAACCCAAAAGTTCGGGAGAATTCCTGCCCACGCAGGGAACGTTCCGGAGCCGACTTCGAAAGCGAAAGGAGAGGGAGGGAAAACGGCTCCAGGAGTGACCACAGAACAAACAGGATGCACGAGCTTCCTGCAGCTCCGGGCTCTGGGCCAAGGGCAGAGCYCTGCCACCACTTCCACCACTTTCACTTTCGAATTCCCGAGGCACAGCCTCTGGAATTGTGGCACCGGGATTTACACAGCACTCCTGGGAAACAGAGGGTATTTAAAGGAAGAGACAAAAAGGAAATGTTAAGGCTTTGCTTTTTTTTTTTTTTTTCCATAAATTTAATTTTAAGATTATATTTGTCCTCCAGTTTGTCCCTGAGTTTGGCTGAGCCCGAGCCAATGGAGTTTTTCTACCTCATTCCTTCTCTCCTCGATTGCTGCAAGGAGAAGGGAAAAAGTCTGGGGAAAACCCTCGGCTGCAAGGACAGAAAATGAATTCATCGGGAGAGATTTAGGATTTCCTCCCATTTAGGATTTCCTCCCATTTAGGATTTYCTCCATGRGCAGGAAGAGTYCATTTCCAAGAAATAAACYTTCTTTGGATGTTTTCCAGCATGGTGCTTCCTCTTTTTCCAGCAGCTCAGAAGGATTTCCGGGAATGATGGGATATCCAGGAAGTTCGGATGCCGGTGACAGGGAAAAGAGGGAACACTCCAAAATTCTGTCTGATTCCGTTCCTACAGCGCAGATTCCTCTGGATATTCCTCTTCCCAGCTCCCGAAGGATGAGGGAGGGCTGGAGGGAAGGCATCACACCTTTCCCAGGAAACCTGGAGGTTCCTCTGGAGCTGGAATCCTGCTCCGACATCCTGGGCTGGAATCTGATCCAACATCCACCTGATTGCGGAGCTGGACTGGAATCCTGCTCCAACATCCTGGAATGAAATCCTGCTCCAACATCCACCTGATTTTGGAGCTGGACTGAAATCCTGCTTCAACATCCTGGACTGGAATCCTGCTCCAAATTCCTGGGCTAGAATCCTGCTCCAAATTCCTGGGCTGGAATCCTGCTCCAACATCCTGGAATGAAATCCTGCTCCAATATCCACCTGGTTGCGGAGCTGGACTGGAATCCTGCTCCAACATCCACCAGATCGTGGAGCTGGATTGAAATCCTGCTCCAACATCCTGGACTRGAATCCTGTTCCAATATCCACCTGATTGCAGAGGTGGATTGAAATCCTGCTCCAACATCCACCTGATTTTAGAGCTGGACTGGAATCTTGCTCCAACATCCTGGGCTGGAATCTGCTCCAACATCCACTGGATTGAAATCTGCTACAACATCTTGGACTGAAATCCTGCTCCAACATCCACCTGATTGCGGAGCTGGATTGAAATCCTGCTCCAATATCCTGGACTGAAATCCTGCTCCAACATCCATCTGATTTCAGAGCTGGGCTGGAATCCTGCTTCAACAACCTGTACTGGAATCTGCTCCAACATCCACCTGATTGTGGAGGTGGATTGAAATCCTGCTCAAAATTCCTGGACTGAAATTCTGCTCCAACATCCACCTGATTGCGGAGCTGGACTGAAATCCTGCTCCAATATCCTGGAATGAAATCCTGCTCCAACATCTTGGACTGAAATCCTGCTCCAATATCCACCTGACTGTGGAGCTGGAATGGAATCTGCTCCAACATCCTGCGCTGGAATCCTGCTCAAAATCCACCTGGGCTGGAATCTGCTCCAACATCCACCTGATTGCGGAGCTGGATTGAAATCCTGCTCCAACATCCACTTGATTTTGGAGCTGGACTGAAATCCTGCTCCAACATCCTGGACTGAAATCCTGCTCCAAATTCCTGGATTGAAATCCTGCTCCAACATCCTGCGCTGGAATCCTGCTCCAACATCCACCTGATTGTGGAGCTGGATTGAAATCGTGCTCCAAATTCCTGGATTGAAATCCTGCTCCAAATTCCTGGGCTGGAATCCTGCTCCAACATCCACCAGATTGTGGAGCTGCACTGGAATCTGCTCCAATATCCACCTGATTTTGGAGCTGGACTGAAATCCTGCTCCAACATCCATCTGATTTTGGAGCTGGAATGTGCCAGAAAGGTTTTTCCCATATCCAGGATGGCTCTAGAAAGCTCTGGAGGGCGTTGTCAGGGCTGGCTGGGCTCTCCCTGGATTTTTGGGATGGAGGTGAGCGGGGTCAGGGAGCCGAAGCACTGCCGGGTGCAATCCCAGCACAGAAATCCCCCGGGATCGYGGCTGCCGTCGCTCTGTGGGTGGAAAAAAAGAGATTTCAGGGAAAAGAACAAAACCCCTCACATCCAGGGAAAGSAATAATGATGTGCCCAAAGCAAGGAAATCCCACACAAAATCATGGAATGGCTGGAAAAGACCTTTAAACATTGAGTCCAATCGTTCCCAAGGCCTCCCATGTCCCCAAGTGTCACATTCCCATGGATTTTAAATCCCTCCAGGTACGGGAATTCCATCCCTGCCTAGGTCAGCTCGTTCCCATGCTTGGAAAATGCTTCCATGAAAAAATTTTCCCAATTTCTGGCTCCTGGCACGGCTTGAGGCCGTTTGCTCCCATCCTCCAGGAGTCACAGGTGGGATCTGACACAACAAAACCCCAAAAGCAGCTCAGATGGGATGTTTGGGATTGGGGGATTCTGTGGGAATTACCCTGGAAATTTGTTATGGAGACAAATAAATGGATGGRGGAACTGTGGGAATGAGATCCCTGCCCAGAAAAGGGTTGGGAATGGCTTGGGAATGTTCCCAAACCCCAAATCCCAGGGAAGGGACGCACACGAGCCAATGGGAGCTTCTTCACCGCCAGCCCAAAGCTGAATTCCAGGGGTTTTGCACATCCCAGGAAGGATTCCAGGGATTTTGCACATCCTGGGAATGCTCCCAAATCCCAAATTCCAGGGAAAGGACTCACACGAGCCAATGGGAGTTTCTTTACCGCCAGCCCAGAGCTGAATTCCAGGGATTTTGCACATCCCAGGAATCTTCCCAAATCCCAAATCCCAAATCCCAGGGAAAGGACTCACAGGAGCCAATGGGAGCTTCTTCACTGCCAGCCCGGAGCTGAATTCCTGGGATTTTGCACATCCCAGGAAGGATTCCAGGGGTTTTGCACATCCCAGGAATGTTCCCAAATCCCAAATTCCAGGGAAAGGACTCATACGAGACAATGGGAGCTTCTTCACCACCAGCCCAAAGCTGAATTCCAGGGATTTTGCACATCCCGGGAAGGATTCCAGGGATTCTGCACATCCCAGGAAGGATTCCAGGGATTTTGTACATCCTGGGAACGTTCCCAAACTCCAAATCCCAAACCCCAAATTCCCGGGAAAGGACTCACACGAGCCAACGGGAGCTTCTTCACTGCTAACCCGGAGCTGAATTCCAGGGATTTTGCACATCCCAGGAAGGATTCCAGGGATTTTGCACATCCTGGGAATGTTCCCAAATCCTAAACCCCAGGGAAAGGACTCACACGAGCCAATGGGAGCTTCTTCACCGCCAGCCCGGAGCTGAATTCCAGGGATTTTGCACATCCCAGGAAGGATTCCAGGGATTTTGCACATCC